TATATCTATATCTATATCTATATCTATATCTATATCTATATCTATATCTATATCTATATCTATATCTATATCTATATCTATATCTATATCTATATCTATATCTATATCTATATCTATATCTATATCTATATCTATATCTATATCTATATCTATATCTATATCTATATCTATATCTATATCTATATCTATATCTATATCTATATCTATATCTATATCTATATCTATATCTATATCTATATCTATATCTATATCTATATCTATATCTATATCTATATCTATATCTATATCTATATCTATATCTATATCTATATCTATATCTATATCTATATCTATATCTATATCTATATCTATATCTATATCTATATCTATATCTATATCTATATCTATATCTATATCTATATCTATATCTATATCTATATCTATATCTATATCTATATCTATATCTATATCTATATCTATATCTATATCTATATCTATATCTATATCTATATCTATATCTATATCTATATCTATATCTATATCTATATCTATATCTATATCTATATCTATATCTATATCTATATCTATATCTATATCTATATCTATATCTATATCTATATCTATATCTATATCTATATCTATATCTATATCTATATCTATATCTATATCTATATCTATATCTATATCTATATCTATATCTATATCTATATCTATATCTATATCTATATCTATATCTATATCTATATCTATATCTATATCTATATCTATATCTATATCTATATCTATATCTATATCTATATCTATATCTATATCTATATCTATATCTATATCTATATCTATATCTATATCTATATCTATATCTATATCTATATCTATATCTATATCTATATCTATATCTATATCTATATCTATATCTATATCTATATCTATATCTATATCTATATCTATATCTATATCTATATCTATATCTATATCTATATCTATATCTATATCTATATCTATATCTATATCTATATCTATATCTATATCTATATCTATATCTATATCTATATCTATATCTATATCTATATCTATATCTATATCTATATCTATATCTATATCTATATCTATATCTATATCTATATCTATATCTATATCTATATCTATATCTATATCTATATCTATATCTATATCTATATATATATATATATATATATATATATATATATATATATATATATATATCTAAAAAGAAATAGTGTAAATAAAATAAAAATAAAAGAGACGATGAGTTTAGTATTATGTTAGTTTACACAAAGCACATCCGCCTACATGTCTAATAGAACGTAATCATATAGGCCTAATAATAATAACATTTACATTACACTTTCTTGTTCAACAGTTACAAAAATTAATTCTTGTATTTACTAATGACGTAGCAAGTGTTACACAAAGCAAAAGATTTCTATATTTCTTTTTTTTTTCTTGAACATCAAGTAATAAGATCTAATGTGGCACAATTCTTCTCATATAATTAAGGTCGTTGGAGCATTTTTAAATATTTTAAACTTTAGAGTCTTTAGAGTTTGCCTCTTTTAATAAAACACCTTATCTTCATGAACATTGGGGTCGTCCATAAATGACGTCACACTCGTAGGGGGGAGGGGGGGGTTCGTAATTTTGTGACGGTGTGTGACGAGGGGGAGAGGGGGTTCAGATGGTGTGACGTCACTTTTTGCATTATAAAAAAGCAATGTTAGGAAACGAGTTTTTAGCCGTTATTTTGCGTTTTAGTAAACGGTTTTAATAAATTATAATAGGAATTGATGAAAATAATCTATGTTGACAGAGTTCTGACAAGATTTCTGGAAAATATTGATTTTTTAAAGAAAAATTCAACAGCAATTTTGAGGGGGTATTAGGCTGAGGTGTGACGTCATTTTAGGGGGCGGGGGTCTGACTTTTTGTGTGACGGAGGGGAGGGGGGAGGTAAAAATTGTCAAAAAAGCATGACGTCATTTATGAATGACCCATACTTCTGGCGACAGGATGTAAAAAGGAAAACCAGATTTGTCAAATTGAAAACATCACGATGTAAAGCTTTTTTTTTTACTTAGCATGCAGATCACGTACTTAATTTGACACAAAGCTGACTATGTACGTGCCCTCTCATAGATTCTTGTATCAAAAGATGTGTAATACTTTCTGAACGTATTTCTGCTCTTATCTCTTATACGCAGACGGACTGGCATCAAGATTAACATTTTTATCTAACATTATATTGACATCTGTAAAGTAGAGATTACTTACAAATTGCTTTCAAGAGAACTATTTTGACGGAATAGTTTTGTTGATTTAGACACTTCAAACAATTTTTTATCGCTCTCGACCAGACGCAACAGTGTAGCGTCACTATTGCAGTATTTCTTCCACTTGATATTTTCTTTTCGACGGGGGGCAGGGGGGGGGGGGAGGGGGAGAGGGAGAGGAAGAGGGAGGAAAACTACATTTTACGGGTGGGGGTGGAGACTGGTAAAAGTATATGATTTCTATATGAATTCCATTTCATTCGGGGGGCCGTAGACTTTCTTACCCCCCCCCCCCCCCCCCCGCCCGAAAGAAACTCTGTACTACTGTTTTCTTTCGAATTTACACTAAAATAACTATGAAAATAATTAATATATATTGATTGAATTGTTGAAATCAATTAATTCTTTCGTAATCAACAGGTTGGTAGAAAGTAAAGAGTCATGGCCTGTGAGTATATTCACGTAAAATAACCGTAGTATTCAATCAATCGGACAAAATGGAGGGTTGAGGCATACTGAGCGAAATTTCTTGATTTGTGAAGAACTTAATCTAAAATTTTAAATCCTTAAAAATGAGAAATTAAGTTCTATAAATTAAACATATAACCAGTAAGTGCAAAAAGACATTCATGTAACGTTACAGAAAATAATGGAAAACAGTATAAATCTTAAAAGCATAAATTGTCAAACAAACAACACACAAATACTAAAACAATATTAGAGGAAACATTTTTGAATAAAGAAAAAAATCTACAGAACATCAACACAGAAAATAAGCAGAAAGTAAACGAAAATAAATACCATCTATATGTATATAAAGCATTGTTTGTCTGTACGTCTGTCTGTCTGTCTGTTTGTCTGTCTGTTTGTCTTTTATGCATTACTACAGCTCATATCACATCGCCGTGAAACTTAAGGAAGTTGTTGAGAATACTCCTGGGGAAGTTTCAGCGGAAAGAATAATTTTAAATTCGCAGGGGTGGCGCCCCGGTAGCGTGCGATTTGTTTTTTCTCTATATACGGCATATACAAAATTAAAGTCGGATGCGTTTGGACACCGTTCATCCGTGTACCATGAAACTTTGGGGACATGATTAGAGCATACCAGGGAAGGGTTCTGCAAAACCATCTTTTTTTAATTTCGCAAGGGCGGCGCCCCTGAAGAACGCGATTTTTCACACGATCGCCATGAAACTTTGGGAAGATTTTGACAATACTACTGGAGAGGTTTCTGTGCAAAAATACATTTTCAAATTCGCAGGGGTGGTGCCCCGGCAGAGCGCGATTTGTTTTTTTCTCAATATACGGTAGATAAAAATAGAAGTCGATTGTGATTTGACACTATTCATCAGATCACAAAGAAAATTTGGCGAGTTGATTAAAACACTGTAGGGAAGAGTTCTGCAAAAACAATCTTTTTTAATATCGCAAGGGCGGTGCCACTGGAGGGTGCGATTTTTCTCTATATACGTTATATACAAAATAAAAGTCGAATGCGGTCTGACACCGTTCATCCGAGTGCTATGAAACTTTGGATAGTTGAATAGAACACACCATGGGAAGTTTCTGTTAACTAATAATTTGATATGAGCGGCGCCCGGGAGGGTACGAATTCCGTCAATACACAATTTAGCGCCCAGAGTTTCAGAGCGGCTATGTTAGCACTTGGCATCCGGTAGTCGTACGTCCTGCATAGCGGGTAAGGGTACTACTATATTCAGCGTTAAAACTTCATCAGGCACAAACCGCCGGCGCCCCGTAGATTGCACGACCCGAAGCGCCAAGAGTTCTCCAGCGAACACTATGGCGCCTCTGCAGTAGTGTACTTGGTAAAGCATTCATGAAACTCTTCTTATATAGCTTGTTCTATACCTGCGGTAACGCGCGGGGACGGGTACGCTTGTTAGTATATAAAAAGTGAACAAACGACATGGGTTATGATTTTATAACTGGAAATGATTTTTTAAAAATTAAAAAACAATGTTCTTGACTATTTTGGTCTATTGATTTGATCAATCTAAATAAAACGTCAACTGGTAACAGTGTGTTTGGTAGACATGGTTAGACACAGAGGCGTCGTGAGGGCGGGGGATGCAGACCGCACCGGGTGACAATATTTAGGGGGTGACACCATGACGAAAAATTGCAAAATAAATAGTATGATTTTTGCAAGTTCCATTAATTAACGCAATTTTGCAAAATGGGAAGGCGAAATCACCAAATGTAACTATATGTATATATATAAAAACCTGTTATATATGTATATATATATATATATATATATATATATATATATATATATATATATATATATATATATATATATATATAACAGTTTTTTTCTGGATGTGAAGGGGGGGGGGGGGTGACACCATGAGATCCCACACCGGGTGACACCCGACCTCGCGACGCCACTGGTTAGATTTATACTCTCTAATAACTTACTGTCAAAGAAAAGATGAATTTAATAATTTTAAAATTATTTTGCTAAAACTATACATTGAAAAATATACTGCAAAAACCAATCTAGGTTTTAAATATATAACAACATGAGCATGTTTTAAATAGCAAACTACTTATTATTTCTTATAGCTTGTATCAGAAGTCTCCAGAAAGTTTGGTTATTTCTGTAGACAAGACATCTGTACAGCTGATTCCTTAAATAAGTTTCTACTTCAGGTGGGTATGTATTCAAGTCGACCCTTTCAACAAAGACAGGAACGATAACCTGACCTCGCACACTGAACTCTCGCATGATGGCCAGGTTCATCTCATACTCTCGGTAGTGATCCAAGAAAAGATCTTCAGACAACAAGAACAGCGTTTTTCTTGTGCCAGTTATAGCTCCACTGATGTGTGACACCATGTCCCCACCTGGAAAGTCCACTTCTCCTAAAATATAAGAGATGTTCTTCTCTCTAAGGAATGGGAGGATCATATTTCTTACAATCTGCCGGATTCTTGGTTCACCCTGTTAGATTAAAACAATATGTGTAGTAGAATATCCTACAACCAATAGACTAGAAAACGAATATAGTTCTAACTTTTCCATATTTCCCTATATACAGTTTTATTACTTAAATTTTAAAAATATGTTTTAAAAATAGTAACGACGCAGTGTAAAAACATACAGTTTGGATATATAACTTCTTCAGTCGTTAGAAGGCTTTTACGGTTGGCTTAAAAAAATAAAATGTGTAGCTATATATTCTGAATAGTGAAGTTGTGTTCAACCATTTATGTACCACAATCCGTCGAGATGTTTACTAATTTGTTTTATTGTTTAGTGCTTAAAGTAGATTGTAATTATACAACTTATAACTTCTAATCTATAAATATTACGCTTGATTATTTGATAATGGATATAAAATTAAACGTAGCTAGATCTTTTTTTATTTGATATATTTCTATTAGACATATTTTTACCTCATCATAAGTGATGAAGACATCAACCTGTGGGTTGTAGTTGACCAAACGTCCACCGATGTGCAGCCGCCGTTGACCAATAAAGTAGAGGTACCTCAACTTCCAGCGGTAATGGAAAAACACGGCCAATACAAGCAAACACAGGAGATGGGTGAAAAATATGGTCAACACAAAACTGAAGTTTTCTTTGATCAGACAGTTTTTTGTAAACATTGGAAGTTGTACGACCATCTCCGTGTAGTTTAAATACGTATTGTCTTCCTTCTTGAACATCATATCGTATACGGAGATAATCAATTTTGCGTTGGTAACCAAGTAATGGAGACTTCGAACGTACGTGCAGATAAATTGAAACTCATTATTAGATAAATGTACCCGAAATTTAGGATTGGCTAATTTTAATCTCCCGAGCTCTTTCCACATTTCATCTGATAGACCAGGGAAACGGTTGAACGACAAATCTAAAAATCTCATGTTCAAATGTCTTAATGTAGATGCTTCAAAAAATGTCAAATAATTTTCTCTTAAATATAATCTTTTAAGATTTTTCGGAAAATAAAATGTGCTTGGTATAAAATCTATTTTACATTCATTCATTTTTAGTTCTTCGAGCTTCGCCAAATCTGTTTTTAGCCAGCTGTCGTCTAAATTTTTTCCACATAGTCCAGTACCACTAGAACCTGAAAGTCCTAGAACACGGAGTTTTTTCATCCCTTCAAATATTTTGTTCTCTTGTATCAAATTATGAGAAAGCTCCAACTCTTCCAAATTAGATAATCCGTTGAACTTAGAATAAATTAGTTTTTTGGGTCGATATGTCTTGTTCTGATGTAATCTATAACAAAAAGAAAATAACCATAAGCAATTAAACAGATAATTGTGTAAGATATTGAAAATGTATAGTTTTACTTACATAAAAACATTCTGTTTCTTGTATGAACTTATAAAATATAATTTTGTGAGCGAGTTTTTCTGCAAATGTCTAAGGGCATCAATGAGGATATTTACAGGATAATTGTAGGCTTCAGTGGTCAGTGTCTCCAACGTTGGAGGGACACGTAAATATTCAGTTTTTTCGTTGAAGGTAATTGCATTTCCAGCAATTGACAACTTTTTTATTTGAGTTTCCATAAACAATTCCAAAACATGTTCTAAATAAAAATTGACACCTAACATAGACCTTACAGACTGTATCGAAAATTCCTGTACGTTTTTGAACAGTTGGATCGAGTCGAAAATTTGTTGTAAAGTTAGTTCTGTTCCATCAAGATTCAGGCTTGTCAACGTTGATCCCATAACAAAGGATTTGTTGGTAAAGCTTGAGAGTGGGCAGCGTGCCAAAGATATAGATATATTTTGCTCTGTTTGTATGTTGTTTTCAAAATAGTTATCACATAAGTGTGTCAGAAAGCAATGGAAGTATTCCAGGAATTTTATTGATTGAAGACGTTTTAGCTTTCGAAATCCGGGACCCAGTTTACAGTTAGTACCGGGTACTGATAGTTCTCTCAAGTTAGTTAAAACTGATAACGCTTTGTCAGGTAAACACTGTGGGGTCTCATTGTAATATCTCGAATCTGAAATGTAAAATATTAATTGGATTTTACACCTTTACTGGTTAAGAATCGCATCCGCAAATATAGTAGGTTCGTTTACTAATGCATACTGCAATATCTAATACGAGATAAATGCCCCGTTGAGGGAGAGATACAATGGGCGCTAGGTTGATAGTGTTGTGTTTTTCTCTAAATCGAAACAAAAAACAAAATCACCACCTCGTCTTCAAATTTAACCGGAAACGAAAAATGTCATTAAAAACAGATTTCTGACCAGAATCGGCATTTTAACTGGAATTAAGCTTGATCTACGCGTAGTAACTGCATATTAATACTAAACATAGCCGAAATCATATACCTATACCTTGCACCTAATCTCAAACACGAGATAAGTCGCATTTAGGAGGGGGGGGGGGCTTCGCCACGAGCAACCCACCCCCTACTCACCACACACCCCCTTAAGCACGTCTACCGTCCCATTCAACGAAAATAATTTTTATAGAAAACATTTTTTTACTAGTGTCCACCCCCTTCCAAAAAATTTAGTCAACCCTCACCCTCGAAAATTCCAAGTACCCTCCCCCCCCCCCCCCTCCGTAGAGGAATAACTCTGAAAGAAACACTTGTCGCATTTGTAGAAAGTACAAACTAATTGTAGCACCTACTTCTAAAATATAAACCTGTCCTACTTTTGGCCGATAAATTTCACTCACGCAGACAGTGTTCGTTTCAGACGTTTTTTTCCGGGGGTTGGGGGCACTTGAATTTTTACAGGGGCGACACTGATAAAAGTGTATATTTTCTATATAAAGTATATTACGTTTTTTTTGGGGGGGGGGTGGAATTAGACGTTTTATCGTGGGGGGGTGAAGGGTTGCATGAACAGTTGCATGAAAGAAAACTTTTACGCAAAACACTTGTAACATTAGAATCACAATTTAGGCCGTAATGTCAGTATTTGTATAATAGGGTATCTATGACATTATTTCTTTAAATGGGGGGTGGGTGGCTTAGACGTTCTTTCGGGGGGTGTGGCTTCGATCCTACCAGAAGAAATGCATGAAAAAAAACTCTTCACGCAAAAAAACTTAAGATTATACACATTAATTAGGCCGTAATGTCAGTGTTTTTATTAGTATCGGTGACGCTATTTCTTGGGGGGGGGGGGGCGGCTTAGACGTTCTACCCGGAGAGATGCATGAAAGAAACTCTTTACGGAAACCAATTTTATAATTAGACAAAATTAGCTTTTTATTTCAATGTTTACTCGAGAATCAATGGCGTCATATTAGTGTGTTTACTTTCCCGGCTTTAGAAAATGTCCTAATATATGTTCCATGTGAGGTCACGTTTCATTTTTTGTTTTACTGTGCATGTTTTTAGTCCGCTTGTGTTCTCTATACTGTATAGTAGTGTATAGTAAAAGCGTTTCGACAGATAAATAGATACTCAGATACACATACAGCGAAACTATTATTATAGACAAGATAAATAGCCTGTTGAGGAAGGATACAATGGGCGCTAAGTTAATAGTAGTGTCTCTTTCTCTTAAAAATGTTTTGGAAACACTGGGCTAGAAAAAGAGAAAAAAATCTTGAGGCTAACTTCATGTATCATACCTTCTGTTTGACTGGTCGTTGTAACAATTCCATAGCTGTTCTTAAATGGAACGTCAGGAAAATAATCAAACTCGAAATTAGTTAGCGACTTAAGTCCAGCGAAAGCTTTGTCGGAAATGTTGAAAAAATTTTGTTCGACTAATTTTAATTCTTTTAAGTTGACTAAACCTTCGAAAATGCCATCCTCCAAGCGTGTCAGGCCATTGTTATGTAGCTGCAGATATGTTAGGTTTTGTAGGTTCGAAAACAGATTAGCTGGGAGTTCTACAATTGTATTGAACAATAGCTCAAGCCTCTGTAATGAAAAACGCTGAGCCTGGAAATATTTCTCACACGTGTCAAAGCCGGAAAAAAAAGAGAGATGCAACCATTCAAGATGAGCTAAGTTGTCAAAAAAGTCACATTTGATAGTTATTCTTTCATTGCCGAGTAAACTTATCCACGTGGTATTAGACGGAAGGTTTGGACAACTAGGAAAACAATTACAATCACATGGCATTCCTTCAAATCCGAGATCAGAACGGCATCCATCTGGACAAGTCTCCTTTACTTCTGCATCGTGATAGATCCACGGTGGAGTAGATTTCGAATTATTATATGAAATGGCAGCATTTGTTTCTGGAATAATGAACAGATTCGTTAAAATCAGAAGCAAACGCGTTATAGTTGAAGAAAAGAAAAATTCCATTTCCCTATGCAGTAAAAACAATAAAATCACGTATTTCCTCATGCAGCTTCTTTTTCAAACGATGGTATTGCTGTCTTGCACAATGAAAAAATATAGAAATAAATGTAAGATATATAGACTAGGATGTGTTGTGTTGATTAGTGCTAAGTACTTGTTGAGATATAATCTATGTATTTCTGGATTGACGTGATTTCTTTGTGTCTAATCATCTTGTTGTGTATGGGAGGGATGTGGTAGTTTTCATAGACTTGCTATTGGTAAGGGAGGGGGTGGAGGGGGCGTCTATCCTAACGTTACATCGCTCGTTTGTAACAAGTGCACCGCGCAAAAAAATTATCTGCAAAAATGAAAGGATAGTTATTAAAACGAATTGTGAAAATTGAGAAAATTTAAACCATTCACTAATTACTGGTGACTTATGAATACTTATTTAAATACAAATAAGAAGGTGAATACAAAATAGTGTGATGGTTCCATGACAAATGATCTCGGACAAATGATCTCAAGGACAAATGAATTCAAGGACAAATGATCTCACGGACAAAAGATACTAGATTAAAATGATATCATGGACAAATGATCTCAGACTAAATATCTCAGACAAAATATCTCACAGCAAAACTTTAATAATGTACGATGATTTTAGTTGATATAAAGAGAATTTCACTCGCGGTCACTTTTTAGCCCTCGTCGAGGGCTTTGAATGAAACCAACAGTTTTTCCTAAAGGTCAAGCCATTTACGTAAGAGCATGCAAAAAATAAGCCAGATGTGAAGACGGTAAATGCCATAAAATCCGCGTTGTAATGACCCTCTGTTTTTCCCATAAAATACAAAGATTATATAGGGAAATACAACTGGTCAGTTTTGACCACTTTACGAAGTTTTCCCAGATATGCCGAGTTTTTTGTGACACCCCAAGGCGTTCTCATACCACCTCACAAATTTTCAAGGGGGTTTGTCGGAGGAAATTTTTCGTACTGGAGCACATATAAGTTGCCGTTCAGTCGAGGTCAGCTTTGACCCCCTCCCCGTGAACTTTTCGGCAAACCTTCACGGGCCCTCATGTTCTATCGCCCCGAGGCACCATCGTGCCAAATTTGACGCGCCTGCGGCGCCGGGAAGTGCCCTATCGGGCAGTTGACCACTTTGCTTTATATAATAATATATAGATATATATATATAAATATATAAATATATAAATATATTTATATATATATATATATATATATATATATATATATATATATATATATATATATATATATATATATATATATATATATGTAACCCTCACTCAGTGGGGATGCTTTTACCCACTGAGGTGTTGTGGTTAAGACGGGCTGACCCTGAGATTAAGTACACACCGACGCCGACAGTTGTTGTCAAGTACTCGTTTATTTATAGCATCGAG